CTATATCAATTAGCTCTTACTACTATGATTAAACCTCCTTTTGTTAAACGCTCATTTGGTGTAGCAGGAGCACTGTGTGCCATGCAGGCTAGGCTAACATTTCTCTAAAAGATTCGCAAACTGTTCTCAGGACTAATCTGGCTCGGGACACTTTGTGCCTTTAACATGGTTTCCTGAGGACCAAAGACCAAAATGCCCGTGCAGTAAACATCAGCTCCATCCCTGTCTGACTTGCCAGAGGCAGGAGAGCTGTACCCAAGTGAGTCGAGCCTTTCCACATCATGGCTAAGGATAATGCCTTTTGAAATTGCTACATGAGGACTTCAGGGGCCAAGATGGCAGAGTGAGGCAGGAACTTCCTGGATCCCTCCCAAATTCTCCTCCAAATAACTTAAAAACCACCTCAGAACTGATTTAGGAGCAGGGAAGCAGCTTACCAGTTCTGCAGCACAGGTCTGTCTCACTGGGGTGGGATGGGAGCCAGGTCCAAGAGCAGCAGCAGTAGCCAGCTTCAGAGCAGAGGGCCTGCAGCAGCAAAGCTCTGAGCCTTGGGACGATCCAACAGCTAGGCCTCACCCTCCTACAAGCCAGCAGCCTCCAGACAAGCCATCAGTCTGTGAAGCACAGCAAGACCGCACCCTAGCGCAACCCCCAAGCATAGGCCGCAAGCTAGGCCTCACCTTGGTCAGATCTAAACTGGAAAAATATTAATTGCACATGGCTAAACCAAATGAATATAACAAAAACAACAATTCTACTTAAATTAATCTATTTCTTCAGTGCCATACCAATCAAACTGCCAAAAAGTTATCTTATAGTTAGAATAAATAATAAAAGTCATCTGGAAGAACTAAAGGTCGAGAATATCAAGGGAATCCATGAAAAAAAAAAAGCGAAGGAAGGTAGTCCAGCAGTACCAGATCTCAAACTGCATTATAAAGCAGTAATTATCAAAACCATCTGGTACTGGCTAAGAAATAGAGTGGTGGATCAATGGAATAAATTAGGTACACAATACATTCTAGTAAATGATCACAGTAATCTAGTATATGATAAACCCAAAGACTCAAGGTTTTGGGACAAAAACTCATTATTTCATAAAAACTCTGGGAAAATGGGAAAATGGTATGGCAGAAAAGAAGTACAGACCAACATTTCACACTGTATACCAAGATAAGGTCAAAACAGGTACATGATTCAGACATAAAGGGTGATTCCATGAGCAAACTAGGAGAGCATGGAATAGTGTACCTCTCAGATCTATAGAAAAGGGAAGAGTTAGGACCAAACAAAACAGAGAGCATCACAAATTGGAAAATGGATCATTTTGATTATATAAAATTTTAAGGGTTTTGCACAAACAAAACCAATGCAACCAAAATTAAAAAGGAAAGCAGAAAACTGAGGGGAAGCGGGGAATTTTGCAACAAGTCTCTCTGATAAAGGCCTCATTTCTCATATAGAGAACTGAGTTAAATTTATAAGAATACAAGTCATTCCCCAATTGATTAATGGTCAAAAGATATGAACCATTTTCAGACACAAAGAAATCAAAGCTATTCATATAGTCATATGAAAAAGTGTTCTAAATCACCACTGATTATAGAAATGCAAATTAAAACTCTGAGGTACCACCTCACATCCACCAGATGGACTCACATGACAGAAAAGGAAAATGACTAACGTTGGAGGGGATGTGGGAAAACTAGAACGCTAATGCACTGCTGGTGGAGTTGGGAACTGATCCAACCATTCTGGAGAACAGTTTGGAACTATGCCCAACGGGCTTATTAAACTGTGTATGCCCTTTGATCCAGCAATAGCACTGCTAGGTCTGTATCCCAAAGAGATCAGAAAAAAAAAGGCAAAGTACTTACTTGTACAAAAATATTCATAGCAGCTCTTTTTGTGGTGGCAAAGAACTAGAAATCAAAGGGATGTCCATCAATTGGGAAATGGCTGAACAAGTTGTGGTATATGATTGTGATGGGATATTACTGCGTTTTAAGATAACAAGCAGAGTGATTTCAGAAAAACCTGGAAAGATTTAACATGAAGCGATGTAAAATGAAGTAAGCAGAACCAGGGTATTGTTGCACACAGGAACAGCAACACTGTATGATGAAGAACTGTGAATGACTTAGCTATTCTCAGCAATACCATGATCTTAGACGATTCCAAAGCATTCATAATGAAACATGCTATCTGCTTCCAGAGAAAGAACTGAGATTGCCTGAATACAGACTGAAACGTACTATTTTTCCACTTTCTTTCTCCTATCCTTTTGCGCTGCTTTTGTTTTTTTGGTTTGTGTCTTCTTGTACAAGATGACTAATATGGAAATGTTTTACAAAGGTATTGGATTGCTTACAGTATCAGGGAAGGTACAAAGGAGGGAAGGAGGCAAGGAGGAGAGAACAGAATTTGGAACTCAAAACTTTAAAAAAGTGTTAAGTTTTAACATATAACTGGGGAAAAAATAAAATATTGTCATTTTAAAAAAAAAGAATTACTACATGATCTAGGATTTTCTAATTTTTGTCTAATACCAAGCCTAAACGCACCAGACCTGCCTAACTCAGCCTACAACAGATAATCTTGCCTATGAGTAGCTCATTTCTTTCCAGCTGCAATCCTGAAACTCCCCTGACGGCCAGGTTCACATATCCAGGTGCCTATAATGGATACCTTGAACCAGTTGTCCTACAGACATCTTAAATTCAACATGTCCAAAACTGAGCTCATTGTCTAATCCTCTATTCGGCATTGAAAGGCTTTCTCTGTTCTCACCTGTCCAATATTCTTGTATCATACTCCTCCTTCCCATCTACATACTCTGCAATCTGCTGACACAGGTCTCCTTGCTGTCCCTCAAACAAGACACCATCTCCTGATTCTCAGGGTGTCCACTGGCCCTGGAGTCCTAACCCCCTTCACCTCCCTATCTCCAGGTTTCCCTGACTTCTAAAGGAAGTCTCAGCAGAAACGCCATCTCGTATGGGAAGCATTTTCAGATCTCCTTTAATGCTAGGGCCTTCCCTCTGTTGATTTTCTCCAATTTATCCTCTGTATAACTCGCTTGTGCATAGCTGTATGCATGTTATCTTCTCCTATAAGGGGGTGATCTCCTAGACAGCAGGAACCATGGGCCGAGAGGGAGGGGGTAGCCTTTCTTTGTATCCCAAGGGTGCTCCTCCTCCTCCTCTAGAGTCATACCTTACATGTGCCGCTCTCTGTACAAATGAATACAAATTTTGATCACGTACACTTCGCAAGGTATCGGGTTTGGGGGCTAGTTTTTCTTCTTCCCTACTTATTTTATCATTCCTCCTCCCAAAAAAAACTGCGACAATTAACTCTTTTGTCTAATGTAATTTTTATTTATAATTTCGTGAAATAAAGCTCCGGAAAAACCAGGCTTTGATAAAGCCCATTGGGATTCAAATGGAGATACCTGACAATGTTTTTAAACCCAAATCACTCTGGCTCTTACTGACTGGCCAAAATAGGTCCTAGCCTAAGCCTCCCGGGCTCACTGTATGGAGTTTAATGGCTCACAGTGAGCATAAATAGCAGTAAATAGCAATCGTTTCCCTTCTAGCCAGGAACCCAGAGGGTCTTGCCCTTCCATATCAATTCATTGGTGAAGGCAAACCAGGCCATCTTTTATCTCAACTCTTACTGAAAGGGTACAGGCTCAAACAGAGGGAGACCAGGGAAAGACTTTCGCTTAAAAAGGCCAAGGTCTCCTACTGCGTTCAGGGCGCAGGACCGCTGGACCCCAGATGGCTCGGGAGGAGACTGAGGCTGGTGGCTTTGCACAGCCCTGCCTCAGGAAAACCCAATTCACTTGAAAGTCAAGACACCCCCTTGCTGAGGTCGTCGGTCCACTTTGCGAAGACAGGACCCACAAGGGCCTGCTGACCGTGCTAGGCATGGGAGACACAAAGGCAAAAGAGAGACAGCGCGCAGGCTCCATTCTGTCCAAAGAAACGTGTGTCCACCGCGGAAAACACCAAAGACAGCCTGCGCAAGGCAAATACAAAGTTACGGAGAGGTCTCCACGCCAAAGATGACGACAGCCTCCCAGTCACCCGCGGCAGAGGGCAGACAGCTTTTCTAAGACCGCTGACATCCCGCTCCCGGCTCTACCGTCACGGGCCAGCTGCACGGCCAGGCCTGGACTCCGGAGGCCTCCTATTCCCGAGTCCAAATCCAGCCTCACACACTTAGCAGCCGTGGGACGTCACCGTTTGCCTCAGTTTCCCCGTCTGTAAAATGGGCCGGAGAAGGGAACGACAAACCCAAAAAGAACCCCAGAGGGGGTCGTGACAACAACAACCGCACCCCAGATCCCGTCCTTGCTCCGCTCTGGCCCCGAAAGGGGCGCGCCTCCCCGATCAGGCCTCTCCCCCGGCCCGGCAGCCCCCCAACCCCACAGCCCAGGGTCACGGCGGGCGCGGCCTGTCCCCAAAACCACAGGGACGACGACATCCTCAGCACGTTCCGAGCGCGTTGCGGCGCGGGCCTCCCACGCTCCCGGGGGAACGCGGCCCGCGGGCCGCACGTGGGGGAGGCCGGGAAAGGCCCCGCGGGGCAGGGAAGCGCCGCGGCCACGCACCTCGCCGGCCTCTCTTCGCGGAGAGATCGCCCTCGTAGCCTGGCCAGCGAAAAACGCGCGGGAGTCCGGCTCCCCGGCCAGGGGGCGTGGCGGGGGAGGGGCCCGCGCGGGAGGAGGGGGATCCCGGCCTCGGCCCGGCCCTCGGGCGCCCGCGTCGCGCACGGACGACGTCACCGGCGCGCGCCCCAGGAGCCAGACCCGGCCCAGCTGCCGCGCGCGCCGCTGGCAGCACCAGCCGCGGGCCACGGGGCGCCGTCCCTCAGCGGGCTCTGGCAGCCGCCCGATCCCGCGTCTCGTCCTCCTGCAAAGGGCCCTGAAGCACTATCGACGTCACCCCGGAATTCCCCCCCTAGCACCGCCCCCTGACCACCTTCCTGACCTTACACGCACCCGCCCGTTCGCCCGCGCGCGCCACCCTTCGCCTCTTCCCCGACACAGCGGCCGCCTGACGTCACGAGCCTGCGTGAGCCACACGGGCTCGCTGGCCGCCGTGAGGTGCCCTGACACGCGTGACACGCACACGTGCGCGCGTAGCGTAGGCGCCTGACGCCATGCGCACGCCCCGTTCGAGCGTGAAGGCCTCGCCCGCCCCCTACGTCACGCGCACTCCCCCGCCCACGGCCGCTGCGGGCTCTCGCGGCACCTCCCGCCGCCCGCCCTCGCACGCAGGCGTGCGCGCTCCAGCGCCAGGCTTCGTGCGCGCTCCCGCCCGCCCTCCCTCCGGGGCTGAGGCGGTTCCGGGGCCCGCCCGACATCCCTCCATCGCAGACGGAGGAGGCGGAACGGCAGCCGGGGATGTTCGCACCCGGGGACGGAGGAGCGGCGGCGGCCAAGGGCATCCGCACAGAGGAGGGAATGGCGGCAGCGCGGACGTGAGTGACCGGCGCGGAGGGGGGAGGGGTGGGAAAGGAGCGAGCAGGGAGGGAAGGGGCGGGGCCTGGGCCGGTGGGTGTGGTTGGCTAGGGGCGGGGGCTGTGATGGGAGGGCCAATGAGGGGTAGGGAGGGGCTGGGTTGGGTGTGGCCAGGGAGGGGAGGGGAGGACCGAAGAGCAGGACGGGACTGGGTGGGTGTGGCCAATGGGGGAAGGGCCGTGAGGGAAAGGGGGGGGATAGGGAAAGCCAATAAGGCTGAAGGGCGTGGCTGTTGTAGGGGGAGCTGACCAATAAGGGGAAAGGGTGGGGCCATGATCAAAGTGGGTCGGGCATGGTGGGGGAAGGGCCAATACTGGGAATTGTGGAGCTGGTCTGGATGGATATAGCCAATGAGAGGAGAGGGCGGGGCCTTGAGGGGAGGGGCGGGCCAATGAGAGAAAGGGTCAGGGTCCCTGGGTCCCTGGCCCCTGGCAGACGGAGGTGGGTCCAGCTAAGACACGTTCGTTAGGTTGTTTATTAGAGCCAGAAGGGCATTGTTACTCCTATTTTACAGATGGGAAAACTGAGGCACAAGGAGAAGTGGGGTGACTTGCCTAAGGTCACATAGTCACTGAGTGCTGAGGCTGGTTTTGAACTCAGGTCTTCCTGACTCCAGGCCTAGGGTTCTATCTACTGGGCTACCTAGGTGTGCCAGTCATTGCGCTGAGTACTAGAGATACAAAGAAAAGACCCCCACCCCCACCCCAGAATCCCAGTCCCTCACCTCAGGGAGCTCCCAGCCTGTGGAAGAGTCACCCTGCAGACCAGGAGAGGCAAGCAGGCTAGGTCGGGGGTGGTCTCAGGGATGTGCAGGAAAAGGCCCTCCTGTAGACAGCGGGATTTGAGGAGGCTGGAGATGCCCGGTTAGCAAGAGTGCTTTCCACGTCGGGCGATCGCTGATGAAAAGCGTGGAGTTGTTAGGTGGAGATGGAGGGTCTCGTTTGTGGAGCAGGCGGGTGGCCTGTGTCCCTGGGTCAGAGTATTTGTGAGGAGTGAGGCGTAAGACTGGAAAAGGAGGAGGGGGATGGGTAATGAGGGGCCTTGAACGCTCCTGGAGGCAAGAGCCACTAGGGCCAGGCTTGACAGGATGAGCCCTGCGCTTAAGGAAGATCCCTCTGGTGGCTGAATGGACTGGAGTGGGGGGACGCTCAAGGCAGTCAGACCCTTCCTTCCCCAGCAGCTGTTGCAGTGATCCGGGTGGGAGGTGATGAGGGTTTGCCCCAGGGTGGGAGCAGTGTGGAGGGGATGCTAGGCCTAGAGAGCCCAGGAAGAACTGAGGAGGATGAAGGCTAGAGAAGTGTTTTCTCATCCCAAGGCTTTGCTTTCTCTGTCTTTTGCAGCTAAAGATGGAAAGATCAGGGAGAGGAGGTGGAGGAGGCAGGAATGCAGGAGGGGGCTCCAGTGTCAGCAGAAGCAGCCTCTACACCCAGGCCCAGCAGTCCACATGTCCACACTACCCCCCACCTGCCGGTACTCCTGTCTGCCAGACTGGGGCCACCGTGGAGATCCAGGAGCTGGCCTCAAAGCGGGTGGACATCCAGAAGAAGAGATTCTACCTCGATGTCAAGCAGAGTCCCCGTGGCAGGTTCCTGAAGATCGCAGAGGTCTGGATAGGGAGGGGCCGGCAGGACAACATCCGCAAAAGCAAACTGACCCTCTCGCTGTCTGTGGCGGCAGAGCTGAAGGAGTGCCTGGGGGACTTCATCGAGCACTACGCCCACCTGGGCCTGAAAGCTCACCGACCGGAGCACGGCCATGACCGAGACCACGATGGCCGGAGGCGCCCGCAGTCCTCTGCCCCGTCCCCTCCGGCCTCTGTGGTGTCGGAGGAGCACCCTCACAGCGTGCTCAAGACCGACTACATCGAAAGAGACAATAGGAAGTACTTTCTGGACCTGAAGGAAAATCAGCGGGGCCGTTTCCTCAGGATCAGGCAGACCCTGACCCGTGGCCCCGGAGGGATGGGTTACTTTGGGCACACGTTGGGCCAAGAACAAACGATTGTCCTCCCAGCCCAGGGAATGATTGAGTTCAGGGATGCCTTGGTCCAGCTCATCGAAGACTATGGTGACAGTGACCTGGAGGAACCGCAGAGAGGAGGGGAAGAGGAGCCGCCAGAACTCCCGGAAGGCACGTCTTTCAGGGTGGACAACAAGAGGTTCTACTTCGATGTGGGCTCCAACCGCTACGGCGTTTTCCTGAAGGTAAGTGAGGTGAGACCCCCTTACCGGAACACCGTTACTGTTCCGTACAAAGCGTGGACACGGTTTGGGGAGAATTTTATCAAGTACGAAGAGGAGATGAGGAGAATTTGCAGCAGCCATAAAGAGCAGAGAATGGATGTCAGAAGGGACAGTGGCGAAGAGCAAGAAGGCCTCGACTAGAGGACCAGTGAACTGTCTGTCTGTCCTCCGTCTGTCGTGATTTGGAGAAGTGTTCCTTCCACTGGGGTCCCTCCTTGCCCATTACACCTCCTGTCCTTCCACTTTCAGGAATCTGGTTGTCCTAGTAACACTACGTAGAACCCAGTAGAAGCCTCCCAGGGAGGTCGTAGGAGAATTCCAGCCTTCCCAAAGCTGCATCCTTGGCAGCTCTGAGCGCTCAAGACTCTTGATGCAGGCAGGTCAGCACAGTGGGGACATTCTGACCTGTAGATTAGAAAGGCTCGTGTTGATTGCACTATTACCCAAACCCTGAGCCTGCAGTGGAAGGCTGGGCTTTCTACCTGACAGGCTTCCCAAAAGGAGAATTTAGAAAAAAGCTGCTAGGTTAAATTGTAGAGAACTTGCCACCAGAACAAAACTGGACTATCCGTAGTCTGCATTGATGCTTACAAGCAAATGTAGAGATCCTGAAATGTTTCATTGGCCACTGAGTCTGAAATGGTCATACTGCACAAGGGTAGAAATCTTGTGAATCCCGCCCAACTCTTCAGGATGCTTGTTAGCATACCATAATTAGATGAGTTAGAAGGCCAGAGTATTCTGTGATTGCGTCATTCTGGGTTCACTGTGCACTTGACACGCATCACCACAAAGCCACGGGGGAGAGGGAAGGTGTGGTCCCAAGTTGGTGGAGATCGATGTCCTAGAAGTGTGCCCTTCTACGGGGACTGTGGAAGATGAGAGGAATATTTTTAATGGTTTTCCAAATTTCAGAAACTATTCTTATATCCCTGTTGGGGCTAGGGTGATACTCCACCTCGTGGCTTTGTGGTGGGAATGTATGCACCGAGCATTTTCTGCTGACCCCCTGGGAGGTAAGGCTTTTCTTCTCAGATGGTAACTCACTGATGGTTTCAGGGTGGCCAATGAAAGTATCATTTGTAGGCTTCTGCTTGGAAAGATTAGTTAAGGGCTGGGCGAACCACTTAGCAGATAGATACAGAAATCCATCTGTGATAACGGACTCCAGTAGCACCTTAGTGATTCAGCTGATGAGGCTGTCTCAGCGCTTCCATTAGAAACGTGTCATGTACAGGCTGGCTGCTTCCAGAAAAAGGGTTTCCCCAGACTGTGCCATGGTGGGAGAATTACATAATTATTTAAAGCTTGGTTGTAGGCGCACTGCAAAGCAAAAAATAAGGTGCTTTTTGTAACCCTTTAAAAGGTTTTCTTTATGGAAGACCTACCCTTTCATCTATTTTTAATATTAATTTCGAGAAAGCCCCAGCAATTTTTCATCACCTAATTGTTTTTTTCCAACATGTGAGCACATGGTACCTGTGTGCTTCAACAGCTTTCTTTTAATCAAATGAAATTTCATCTCTCCAGCTGCATTTTCTTGCGAATGAAACGATTGGCCTTCATCTTGGCTTCATTCTGCTCCCACGTCATCTGTCTAAAAGCCAAACACTGATTTCAGTCCCCAGAATCAGCTCTCCCTGATCTCTGCGAGAGCCGGTTACTAGGATTGAAGACAGGACGTGGCCTTTAGCGTACGTGGTTTTTAAAACTCTAAAATATGTTAACAAAAAAAGTTTTGCACTAAAGTTGCCCCAGAATGCCCTTCAGTGTGATCAGAAATTATCACGGTTCTGATGGAAGCAAGAGAATCGGGAGGGCAACGGCTCTTTTCCGTGACCCGGCCGCTCTTCGGGGCGCTGGGACTCGGGGACAATACAGTCTATGGCAAAGGGACCTTCGTGAGCTCACTGCATGTCACGGGACCGTCGGAATCTCTTTGAAGCTGCTGACGATTAGAAGGGCGCCAATACGCACAGTGGCGGTCGAGGCGCCACAAGGAGTGAGGCTGTTTTCAAGAAGCCGCAAATGTGAGTAGAAAGATCACGTGGCTTTGCTTGAAGTCCAACACCGTGTGCTTGGACCCCTGGCTGCGCGAGGCGCCAGGCCGCTGGGATGACTGCCTTGTCAGATTGCAGCCCCCACCGGTGGAGGCCCGGCCCAGCCCAGCCCGGCGGGCAGTCCCACCTAATGCTGTCTGTCTCAGCGTTCCAGTCTAACGCATGTGGCATCAGTTGATAGTCAGGACTTCCCTGAGACAGAGGCAGTCTCTGGGCACCAATGCAAATGCCGTATTCCGTGTTTGGGCTGGCGTCATTGTGCACCAGGTTTTCATTAGGATAATTCTATAACGGATTAGTTGAGCAAATAACATTCCAACATGGATGCATCCTATACGAGGAGAAAAGACATCTGAGAGCTTGCAGTGGGACTGATGAGTTTCAACTGTCCTGGTCTAGTTATAGGCAACCTGCTGAATAGTCTGTAAACTAAATAATGTATGTAACTATTTAATCCCTTTATTTCTTTTTTCCCGTAATTCGTATTTCTTTGAAAAATGAAGGGAAATGGTCTTTTTATAAGAAACATACCCAGGAAGTTATTAGCCATAGGCTGACAAAATCCAACTCAGAATTCCGATGCCAAGGCACCTACCTATTGCCAGATATCTCCTAAAGTGGGCTATTACATTGGCATGTGCAATACACATTTTATTTGTTGTCATTTATCATTTTGACGTGGCGTTGTACAGAAGAAGGGGAACCCCTGCCTTGAAGACACTCGGCTCTAAAGGTGCCTGGGTTTCCGAGGGCACAGATGCACATTTCTGTTTGCAGCCTGCTGCATTTACTCTTTTTCAAAACCAAAACCACTTGCTCTCTGTGCAGTCTGAAAGCACTTGATATTTGCACATTGGAATCCAAGGAGAAAAAGTCCAAATGTAAGAGCAGGACCTTATAGGGTTAGATTTGAAAACGGTTCCTCCACCCCTACGGCATGGCAGCAGTGGCAGAGGCAGGAGCATTGCCTATCCTGGGCGCCTCAACTTCAGCTGTGTTTGCAGATCGTTTTCATTGTTTAAACCCCAATAATGTCCATGTCCCTTAAACTTGAGTAAAACAAGCATATTTGCACTAAAGAACGTGGCCAAAAAAACGAAATCCAAGCTAGGACAGGGTGGACACAAGTAGTTGGAACCTCTTGAAATAATTGGTTCTTTGGGAAAATTTCACATTCAAGCCCCACCTCTATTTTAAACCTGTGTGGTCCAGGCAGAAGTGTCTGCCCTTTCACTGATTTAGCAATTTAATAATGATGATGCACTTTATCTTTTGTATATAACGTGTACATTGATGCTGCCTGATGGATGGAATGTGCTTTGGTAGGTATCTAGGCGGTATCTGTGCTGAGTGTCCTCCTGCATGTCGATGTTTCCTTAGCGCTGTTGTAACCGCTTGAGCCCCATGAATTGGTGTCCTAGAGGTCAGAAACAAAGGAAGTGACAGACAAATCTCAAAACTATTTATACTGAATTTTAAAGTAGGCATAATATCTGTATTCCCAAAGGCTCAGAACCAATAAAACCGGACTCTTACTTGGTTTAGTATCGTAGCCTTGCTCATTAAGGATTCCCCCACTTACCGTTGGTGGATTTTTCTAGCGTTGATGGTCATTCCAAGTCAGATCGTCCTTTCCCCTTCTGGTGAAAAGGCAAAGTCTCTGACAGTGTTCTTATTGATTGTGTGTGGAGGGGATTGCCACCAGAAAGGTACGCTGTGCTGTATTAGAACCTTAAGGTTTGTCGGTGAAGCCAGAAAATAGAGACCCCGTCGGCTGAAGAACCGAGTGGCCCCATTCAGGCCACTGTGCAAAAGCACAGCTAAGATTGGCCAGTCATTCCAGACCGTTTGCAGATTGGCCCGCTTCGGACCTCGCTTCAAGTCCCAGTGCTGGGGATACCCCCGGGCTCCCTTCCATTGTGATTTCCGTGTGACAGTGTACAGCTGGAAAATGGGGTGAGTGTGATTGCACGGCGGTGTGTGCTTCCAAGAGAGAAACGGCATTTCTTCCTGGCTTTGATCAAAGGGGCGCTACATGCCCATATTTGTTATATGTGTGTGTATGGAAGTACGTATTTATGAATAGGCATACTATTTTAAACTATATTTCTATGTGTTTATATTGTAGTTTTGCAGATTTTTCAGTGAAACAATCAATTTAGCTGAGCTGCACAATTCAAAGATGAGGGAAGAAAACCTCTTAGAGATACTTAGTTTTCAAAAACAGCTTTATGTCACTAAAGGTCATGCATATGTTATTTGCCATCTTTAAAGTTCTTTGGTAGTTCATTTGTAATTGGGGGGGGGATAGGACTCCTTTTGGAATTTCGAAAAGGAACTTGGTGGTTTTCTAAAAACAGTTTTTAGTGAGTTTTTTTAAACTTAATCTCTACATATCTTTCATAGGAAATACAGTTTTAAAACCCTTTACTAGCTTTATAAATGAGGGTTTGCTGTAGCTCCCCATAGTGTTCCAAGTCTGTCTTTATATGCCAAAAAAACTGTGAGTGTTTGGCAGGATAAAATCATTTCATGATCCCAAATAAGCCAGAGAGTTTTCAACTGGGCTGCATATCTGTATAATTCAACAAAACTCAGAAAATTCTGCTACCCTTTTGTCACTGCCAGAACAAAATGATTGCACCCTTTTTGAAGTGTATTTATTCATTACTTGAATATGCAAGGGAGAAAACAAGGGCTGAAGGGACACAGAGTGCAGCCCAATGTCTGGATTGTAGGGAGACGCCAGGGAAAGGATGGCAGGGAGGGAGGGGGGACTGGCATGCGAAACAGGGGCGCTAAACAGGGGCGCTGACCAGATGCGCCTCTGGTCCTTTGGTACTGGAACTCCTCCCCCCACCCCCAGCCCTGCCCTTATTATATGGGGGGAGGGGTGTCAGGCTGGAGGAGAACCTGTGGTCTATCCCCAGCATCTCCTCTGACCCGATTCCTGTGTCTTTGACTCAGACTGCAAGATGCAGAATTCTTCCTTCTGTGTTGACAGGACTTTGCTACCATCTAACTCATAAGAGTCATATCCATTTTAGATGCACTATCTTCAATAACATTTCCAGTTTTTTTATCAATAGTATAGTTCGAATGTAGCCAAGATGCCGACCCTATTTACACTGCTCTTTTGCACATAAGTGACATTGACTCTACAGATTCCCTAAGAAATTTTCAAAAGAAAAACACATACATAAAAGTATGTAGAAAAAGGACCTGTATAAATAAATACCGGGGACCCATGCGCTTCTCTATTTAAAAGTGCTGGAGGAGTCTTGATAATTCTGCTAGAATTACCCATTCACTGCGTTTTATTGTCACCCCTGAACAATGTCACTCAGAAAATGGCCGAATCGTAGAGAACTTAGCCCAGACCTGCTTCAGGTCTCCTTATGTAATAATTAGTCCTGTCCTGTAGGCTTAACATCATGGAAGAGGCTCGCCATTTTTATCACTGAAACTACTAAATCATACTTGTCTTTCATCTTTAGCAGAAGGCCCACCACATTTAGCGGCAAATATCAACTGTTGCTTTCTATAAAAGCTAATTGAATGACTGCTGGAAGATTTTAATTTATCAACATGAAGCCTCTTTGTTGTTCAGGGGTTTCAGTCGTGTCCAACCCGTCTGGGGTTTTCTTGGCAGAGATACTGAAGTGGGTTGCCATTTCCTTTTCCACCTCATTTTTACAGATGAGGAAACTGAGGCACACAGGGTGAAGTGACTTGTCCAGGATCTCATAGGTAGGAAGTATCTGAAGCCAGATTTGAACTTGTGAAGAAAAGTCTTTCTGATTCCAGACCCAGCATTTTTGGATGAAGCCTTTAGACATTGCTGGGTTTTTAAAATTCATTTCTTTAATGCTGACTCATTTGCATAGCATTTTAAAGTGTGCAAAGCACTCTGCTCACAAAAACCCTGTGATGTATGGTGGGCTGGAAGTATTACTACCCCCATTTTACAGATGAGGAAACAGGCTCTTGGAAGGTAAGGGACCAGCCAGCAAGTCACCCAGAAAGTGAGAATCGGAGACAGAACCTAAACCCAGATCACCTCCCAACTTCAAATTTGGCCTGCTGCCTGCCCGACCACACTCACTTCCAGTGTTCAACAGATGCAGATAGGTAACAGCCTCCACTTGGGCCTAACAGGTAAATGCTGAACATCTCATTCAGAACAGCAGCTTATCTAGAGAGGGCCTAGAATTTGTTTTATCTTTTTTTTAAGTGGCTTTCCAATGTGTGGTGTCACAGATGCTAGGCACTGGAAGGCATTGCTCTAAGTTGGAAGGGAATGACATGTCTGAGGCCATCCAACTCTCAACAGCATCTCTTCGGCCTCCAAAGAGCCCAGCCACTTGTAACTGCAGATGGAGAGGGTAGAACCAAGGCTGGAGGAGGGTCTGGAGCTCTTGAGAGAGGTCTTGGACAAAGCGCCCATGGGGAGAGGATAGTACCTGATGCGCAGAGAATGAAAAGGCATCCTCATTTTGCAACAGTCAACCAAGTTCTTTGTAATTTAAAGGAAGGAAATAAATGCGCTTTTTTTAAATGTTAAAATAACATGCTTCTGTCGTGGGGAACAAGATTTTCTCTTTTGTGAAATGTGTGCCTTGAAGAAGGCAAGCTCCTTTAAGAAAGGCAGCCGTGGGATAGTCGTCAGTATGCTGGTTTTTGAGACTTAGGCTGTGAATCAGATCCTGGCTCTCCCAACTTACTGCACCATGTGACCTTAAGCAAGTCACTGAGCCTCAGAAGCCTGAGTTTCCTTATCTGTAAAACTGGAGGGTTTGCACTAGGTGATGTGGAAGGTATCTGCTAGCTCTTGAGGCCATGGGCTGTAGAGCAGAGTCTCTCCTCAGTGGCCCCATGACCTCTCTGAGGTCGTCATTCTTGTTGGAAGCATAGCAAGTGGGACAGTCCCAAGTGACTTAAGCCATGTGTTTGGGGGGAAGGATCCCAACAGGCAAGAGCATTGAACTGAATCTAGTTAACATGCAGTTTGTCAGGGATGAACGTCAGGGTCTTCTGCTTGGGCGCACAAATGAATTCCATATATGAAACTGGGGAGGGGGGTGTTCTGAAAGGGTCTGGAGGAACTGCCAGCTCAGAATCAGTCGGCAGTGGGATGTGCCTGCCTGAGGAGAGGCACAGCTTCCAGGCCTAAGGAGGTGACAGGCCCTCTGTCCTGTGCCCTGCTCAGGCCTCACCTGAACCATTCGTTTCTGGGCCCTGCAGTTTAAAAGAAACATTGGAAAGCTGGGGAGTGTTCAGAGGAGGGTTACAAGGACGAGGAAGGGCCTGAGTCCATGTCACGTGTGTTTGGAAGCACGTGGGCACCGTGTTCCGGTATCTGTAGGGCCATCGTGTGTGCGAGGGCGGAGCAGAACCAGGAGTGGTGAGTGGACTTCGAGACTGAAGTCGGGACGCTGTCCGAAAGGGGAGGGCTTGTCTCTGGAGGTCCTCAGCTCTTCATCCTAGGTGGTCCTGAAGCAGAGGTTGGACAGCACTTGTCAGAACATTACAGTAGCATTTCCTTTCGTACTCAGGTCAGTCTGGGTGGCCACCAATGTCCCTTCCCACTCGATGATTCTCTGTGTGTGTGTGTGTGTGTGTGTGTGTGTGTGTGTGTGTGTGTGTGTGTGAGTGAGTGTACTTCTCTGTCCTCAAAGGAGACATTGGAAAGAAGAAGAATTCACTTTCAGGGGGAAAAAATGTTTCTTCAATCTAGGCCACCATCAACGTTCTTTCTCGATTTGGAAGGGTCTCTAATAGTGACATCTCTGGGAGACTTTTTTTTCCTCTTCCTTCTTGCGGTAGTTGTTTCCTCAGGAAGAATCGTTCCTGTCGGCTGGGATGAGCCTCAGCTTCGGCCAGTGTCGGTCAGTGGTGTTTCTGCCCCGAGGCCAAGGCGGCAGTCTGCTCTGCCTAAGGGGCTGGCCAGCTTTGTGGGGAGTTCCTCTTGGTCAGTGATTCAATGCTAATCAAGCTTTGCTCCAGTTTTTCATCTTTCTCCAGAAAGACACAGATGTGGAGATAATGCTACAAAATGAGTTTGTGTGGCGTTTAAGACCAAAGCTTATCCGAGGGGCAGGGCTGGGAGGGAATGGCCCTGTTGGTTCTTTGCTGGGATAATAGCGTAAACCAGAGCCTTTTTAGCTTGGTGCTTCTTGGTTGTGGCCGCCACACATGGTGGAGATATTAGGCAGCATTAAGAGAGGCAGAGCTTCCAGGATTAGGGGAGGGACCGTCTGACTGTCCTCTGACCTGGTCACGCCACATCCAGGGGCAGTCATTTGTAGAGTAGTCACCTGAGAGGGGCCGGAGGAGGGCAGGCAGGCAGCTAGGATGGTTAAGAGCTTTTGTGTTTCGTTGTGTTTCTCCCTATTCTCTCCCTGTATCACCCAGTTATCTGCTGAACAGATGCCCTCCCTTCTCGGTTTTATTGTCTGTCCAACTCCCTCCCCTTCCCCTTATCCTTCCAGGCCAGGCTGACCATCGACCAGTTTGTAACATTTGCAGAAATTTCCCCCG